GGACTCCTGGGCCCAGAGGCAGTGACATGGTCACAGAGGACTAGCATGGAGAGTGAAGCGCCCAGCTGATATGAAGTGAGGGGGGATGCACAAGAACACCCATATTTGCAAATAGTACCCACTTGACCTGGCTTCGATGGCTGGATGATCAGAACTCAACTAGAAGAAGAAAGAAGAGGGAAGAAAAGAAGAAAAAAAAAGAGTAACCCACTACAATTTGTTGAACTTTACTTATACATATGGATGTAGTACCTCAAAAAAGGGAACAGATCTTTACAGCAAGGGTCACTCCCACCCCCCTCAGTACACAAGGTTGACAGGGATGGGCAACTTAGACATTGGCTACCTTAAATGGGGGCTGAGGGCTATAAAGGCAAGAAGTGACAGGCTTACAAGCTTTCAAGAGGGAGCCTAGTTCTAGACAGGGCAGGGGTAGGTAGAACCTCCACTGAATGATTTCCAATCTGTTGGGACCGGGCTGGCAAAAGAAAATGGGGATAAGACTCTTGTGGTACAATAGTGAATAATTGCCATCAGGACTGACTGTGAGGGTCGGAAATATAGAGGTAGATGTTTTTGACAAAAGGAGGGGAGTGACTGATTTTGCAGCCTAGGAGTGGAGAGGTCCCTGGGACCATCAAGTGAGAAGAGCAGAGAGTGTGACCCTGCCCAGAGGGGCAGTGATGCCAGGCATGGACACAGAGACCATGATGTGGACAGATGGAGCGACTGGGGATCCTGCACTTAGGAAGGGAGAGGGGCTGTATGCTGACAGCCGGGTGGGGTTGGGGGGCGGCCTGTGAGGTGTATCCTTTAGTTATTTGATGGCATATGGAGGCGATTGTTATCATTGCAATGAAATGAAATACAATAGGATGAATGTAAAACTGATGTTATCCCATGTAAACCCACATAATTCATAATAAAAACTTAAAAAAAAAATGCAAGTATCTTCTGTTAATGTGAAACTATTACTAGTGCTTAATAATGCTTGGAAGGAGTACTAGTGGTGTAATGCCTAAGCACTTGGCTACCAATCAAAAAGTTAACTGTTAAACCCACCAGCAGTTTTCGGAATTTCTTTCTATTCCTGTTCTGTTAAGTGTTTTTATCAGGAATAGATGTTAGATTTTGTTAAATGCCTTTTATGCATCGATAGATATGATCGTGCTGTTCTTTTCCTTTATTTATTTGGTTGATTACATTGATTGTTTTTCTAATTGAAATACTCTCTCCTTGCATAACTGTTATGAATCCCTCTTGGTCATGATGTATTATTTTTTTATGTGTTGTTGAATTCTATTGGATAAGATTTTGTTGACAAGTTTTGCATCTGTGTTCATGAGGGATATTGATATATAATTTTCCTTTCTAGTGATGTCTCTGCCTGGTTTTGGTATGAAGGTTATACTCATTTCATAAAATGTTTTCAAGACTTTTTCATTATTTTTTGTGTTTTTCATATAATTCCAGTGCCTCTTTTTCCTCCAAAACATTTTCTAGCTCTGCCTCTTGTTAATTTGTTTGAACTACTCTGTCTTGTTTCTTCATATGAACTGAAATTGTCTGCTGCTTTTGAGGCACTGTGGTGTTGTTGTATTTGTATTAAATTGATGAATGTATTCTGGTGTATTCTTGGGCATTCACCAACTGCCTCCATGTGGGTATGATCAAGAGATGAGCATGTGCTCCATTCTCTTTTCACTGTTTGCTGTTAATGCGGTTCAGTTCAGGGTGGATTTAGCTGACGGTTGTTGTTAATCCAGAATATAGCCGCTGTTCCCTCTTCAGTGGGGCTCACAACCTGGCTCTGACTGCCTGGACAGTGAGAGCTTCCCCGGATAGGTACACTGGTTGATAACCAGCCTCATCTCTGGTCACCAGGGGCATGTAGGGAACCAGAGGGAAAAAATAATCAAACCTTGTCTCTGTGAGCTACTGGTAAGTTTCTGCAGTGAGACTGTTTTCTTTCTGTGAAGCCACTTACAAAGGCTTAAAATCCTGTATACCACCACAGCTCTACCAATAAGCACTCAGTCTACTTCTCTATCCCCTCATCGGAAACTCAGAGTTCCAGGACCAAATTCTGTATGTGTCTCATCCAGTTTTACTTATCCTTGCTGCAGAGGGTCCACACAGCCTTTCTGCCTAATCTGCCATCTAGCTTTTCCTCCGCCTGCTGAGGTTTGATTGCCATGTCTTCTAATTAGTGCTATAATATACCAATACCTGGGAGTGTATTAAAGCATGTAAGTTGTTTTTATAGTGTTCTAGAAATAGTTCTTGTTTCTGTTTGATTTGTTGTTATTTTTTTCATGTAAATCCCTTTAAAGTTTCTATTGTGAATGTTTACAAGGCAGATCATCAGTTTTATATTCAACAAATTATGTACTTCATTTCATTTCCGTTGCAATCTCATCATTGTAACATCACTTATCCCACTTCTTCCATTTCTAATTTCTATTCATCCTTCTGAATTTTGTCCTTAGGTAAATGCTGCCCTTTTGATCTTGAATCGCTGACCATTCTATGGTCTGCATACCTCACTAGTGTTGTTGTCCCCCAAATATACCTATCGCTTGACTGAAAACTGAGCCACAGGGTACATTTCAGACCTCAAGCGTGACCAACATCCTTAGTCTTGGGATTCCATCAGTCTCTATTTGACCAATAATTCTGGAATTTTTTTCACAATTTTGACGTTTGTTCCACATTTTTTCCCGTTCTGCCCCAGACATTGTAATCCCTTTCAGAACAGTTGGTAGTAGCAAACAGGCATCATCTAATTCTTCTGATCTTCAGTTTCCATCACTTTTCTTTCCTCTGGTCAGGAAGAGACCAATAGGTGGCAGCTTATGAGTTTTTAAGACCCCAGTCACTAGTTACCAAAATAAGGTGTAGAACATTGCCTTTGTGAACTCTGTTATGCCAGTTGACCATGGTGTCTCCTGAAGCTGTGGTACTGAGGCTGTTTAGGTTTTTTGATACTTTAAATTTCCTCTCATGTTGCCAGTTATTTTTACTGTGGTTGTCACTGGGCACCAATTGTACTGTTACTCCTTTTAATCTGTTGTGGCCTGGAAACACTTGGTAAGAGCTTCACTGTTCACTTTATTTAAAACTATCCTCTTTCTCATCACTACTGATTCCACTTACCTGCTTTATTTTTCTTCTGTTTCAAATGGTATATATTTTTTATTATTTTGTTTATTATTTGTCTTCTTCAACTAGAATCGTTCACTGCTTTATCCCCAGACCTAGATCAATGAATGTCATGTAAATGAAACTTAGTAAATAAATGTTTTTTGAAATAATAAATAAAATTTATATATAGTTGTTGTTGTTGTTATGTGCCATGGAGTTGGTTCCGACTCATAGCGACCCTGTAGAGGGTTTCCGAGGCTTTAAATCTTTATGGGAGCAGAAAGCCTCATCTTTCTCCCGCAGAACAACTGGTAGTTTCTAACTGCTGACCTTGTGGCTCACAGCCCAATTCGTAACCACTACGCTACCAGAGCTCCTTTATATATAGTAAAGTATCTATATAGTATATATATAATAAACAAATTTTTCATATATTAAAAAAATGTTTAAAGGGTTCAGCATTTCATAGTATATAAATACATCTTAACTTTAGTTTGTAAGTTCTGTAACTTGTACTCATTTCATAAGTTTAGGTCACTTACAGATGATGGTCATAAAAGTAAACTTCCATTTTTGTTTTTAGATAAAAACTTACAATGAATTTCAATAGTATTTTACAAACTTCAGTAGATATAAATTACTATCTCATATTAGGTAGGACAAGCACTGGACCGCAAGGTCAGTGGTTCTAACTAATCAGCCGCTCCTCATGAACTCTGTACAGGGTCTCTATGAGTTGGAACTGACTCAACAGTGCTTAACAACAACAACATTAGATAGAACGGGTAATATTATTTCTACCTTGGAAGAAAGCAGGTGCTTAAAGTAATTAAATGTGAGTTCAAAGAACTAACAGCTAGCAAAATAGGAAAAAAATATTCTTTTGCGTTTCAATTTTACTACAAGCAATTTTTAGGATAATCAGTAGACTCAACTTTCAAAGCCAATTTCGCAATAGATTCTGAAGACAAGAACTTGTTAAGTGAATACTACTATAATTTTTATGAATAGCTAAATTCTCACAGTATTGTCATAGATCAATAATTTTATATCTAAATTGTTTTCTTTAATATAAATCTTTGGTGACCACTGTATTATTTTATGAATAGAAAGGCATTTGAATACTGTTTCACTTATATAAAGTTCAAAAAAAAACATGTGATCTTTTGTAATAGAAGTAAGGTTACTCTGGGAGAGGATTGTATAGGGGGTTTGTTCTTATATTGTGCTGGAAACTGGGTGTGGTTTCATAAATATTCTCATTCATTTGAACTGCAAGGTTGGCAGTTCAAGCTCAACAACTACTCCTTGGAAACCCTATACAGGGTTGCTATGGGTCAGAATTGACTTGTTGGCACTTAACAACAAGTAAAGATTAATTAAGCCATAATTGCAAGTACATAATTAATCCAAAAATTATAAGCACGTATAATTTTGCATTGTTCTATATGTGTAATATTTCAACAGAAATTTTACTTTTAAAAGTTTCTGTTCAAAAAGTTAGGCAACAGGCATTTTGTAGATTTCTTTTTTTAATGCTTCTGTAGAAACTTCAAATATTCATTTTTCTGTATATAGTAAACTTTTTATCTATTCTTTCAAAATGGTTTTGTCAACAGTTACAGATCTGCATAAAATACACAGTAGTTTTTTTTCCTAAAAAGAAACGCCATATATTCATAAAATTGATCATTTAATATAGCTTTTCCAAATTCAGACATGTAAAAGTATTTGAATAATTTTTTATAATTT